AGGGGCGGACCCATTAAGGGCCCAGTGGGGGCAACCGCCCCCACTGGGCCAAAAAAAATTGGCCTTTTATCTCCCATTGGGCCAAAAAAAAATTCTTTAAAAAAAAAGAAGAAGCCCACTGCCCACAGCCCACCCAACCACAGAACCTAAGCCCGTCTAGTGATCAAAGCCCAATTCCTTTCCCTTTCGCCCAATTCCTTTCCCTTTTCCCCCAATTCCTCCCTCTCGTTCCCAAATTGAAATCATTTCCAATTCCCCAAAGTCTCCCAACTGAAGACAGCGATTGGCGTGATTCTTCCCAGCGAGCGTTCGCACTTCGCAGTACAAGTCAATCCTTTGGCGACCTTCGGAGTTCAGAATCGGCTGCTGCTGCTGCTCAATTCGTTTCTCCCCTGCATCAATTGACGAGAGTCCGAGAGACCGAGACGGCGAGACTGACAGTTAGACCTTAGACACTAGGTATAATTTACTCAATGCAAGTTTCTTGAATAGTCTGAGCAGAATTTGTTTAAATTTCTGTTTGCACTTAATCTGAAATTGATATCGATAAAAGGAATATTGGACATGAAGCGAGCTTTTACGAGATTTGCTGGTTGAGGTCGAGGTCAGATTACTGTAGTCTGTAGACATGATAAATCTTGATGCACTTTTAATAGAATTTAGATTTTAAGAAAAACAAGGGTTGTGAATTGTGATTGGCTTTATTAACAAGGTTGAGTGGGGGATTCAATTCACATCTTCAATATGCATAAGTGAGGACTGAGGAGGACAGTGTTCAGGTGAATGTGAGTAATGAGTACTGAGTAATGGTGTGAAGTTGTAGACAGTGGAATGGAGCCTTATGATCTATTGTCTTTTGCGAGTGGATTTATAAAAAGAAAGTAGATTTTACATGTTTTCCTCACTGATGAAGCCTGAAGGAACTAGATAAGTAGATAACCTTATTGTATTTGTATAATATTCATGCCATTGAAATCCAGTTGTAGGAAAATAAATTGAAACTACTAATGTTTTTTACCTTCTATTATCTACTTTCATTTTTTATTGCCGTTCTATCCAAAAGGTCGTGTCTGCTTTATCAATTCAAAAAGGACGGAGTTACTTTGAAACTTTTGCCAATTACAAATTGACAACCGTATTAGCCACCATCAAGAATAAAGATAACATTGCTGCCAGTTGGGTTTAGATTATTATAGTGATTTGTAACTCGGGACATAAATCTAATATCTGTACAAAGGCCTACAAAATGTTATCTTTATCTAAAGTGGCCCGATAGCTAGAAGAATGCTCAAAACTTCATCATTTCAAAAAATTTTTTAAAAAAAAATCCATTTCTTACTTTAATTTGCATCAATTTCATCCGATCAAGGCCGAGTCACAAGAATGCAACATAATTGATGCAATTTGCTTACTATAATTGTTTAGTTGTATGAAAAGATAACTCCACGTCATAGAGATAACTCGACAAATCAACTTGATACGTAAACTTAAATTAAGTTTGTGAACCATTTAATTGAGACGAAAGAGTTTGGAACTTAAATATTAGAACTTTGATTGATCAATATTTTTTTTTTTTTTAAGATTGTAACTAAAAAAGAAACCTTCTTAAACAAATATTTTAAGATAAATTAATTAAAAAGAAACGGAAACTACTTATATTTGACTGTACAAATGTACAAAATCCTGAAAATTGTAGGCAAAGTAGTAAGAAAATGGATGTGGCCAAAGAGTTGAAGGGGGATTTTGGAAGGGCTTGTCCGAACCCAATTTTGTCCGAACCCAATTGGGTACAAAATCAAGGAAAAATATGAGAGATTTGAGGTTAATTTGAGAACGAGTCATTTTTATTGGACAGTGATGGTGTAGAGAGAATTAGGGTTAGGGCTTNGTTTTTTGTGTGCGGAAAGGAAGTAGAGAGAATTAGGGTTAGGGCTTTGGGGACAATGTTTTAAGTTTTTCAAAATAGTCACTTATAAGCGAAAAATAAGTTGCTTAAAATTTTACTTGTAAGTGAAAAGTAGTAGCGCATAAGTTACTTAAAATATTTCTTAGTACCCCTTTGTCCCTATGGTACACTTTTTACGAATTCAGGATCTATCTTTTAAGTTTTGGCAAAAGCATCCCCAGATTGACCTTTCAGTCCAAAATGACCATTCATTAACTAATTGAGTGCACTGCACATGTCCTTCTCAAAAGGGTAAATTCGTCCAACCAATGAAAAAAAAAAATGGTATTCTTATTATTGTTGATGACCTACCCAAACCCAATACCTAGAGGAAAGGATGTCCTGGCCAAGTCGACAAGGATCTCAATTGTAAACGTGTGTTTCTAGGGTCCTTCCATTTGAAGAAATGGTCATTTCCATCAAGACCTAGATGACTCAATCCACCTCGATTTCAAGAGCTTGCAATTCGTGAGAACCAAACTTTTTCCTAAGAAAACTGAGACCAACCAGATAGCAAAGTTCCTAATTAACAACAGCAAAGACGAAAGAAAGAACAAAACAACAATAGGTGTGACAAAAACAAATTTGATTGTGGATTAGTATTGACATGTAAATTTTTTGTATAATGTTATCGATTTTATACATCTAGTACAAAAATTGAAGATCTTTACTGCAATTAAATATTAGTGCAACAATGATTCATAACTCAAAAATTTCCCTATCACCTTTCGTCCTCGAAACTTTCTCGACCTCTGCTCTCATGCAACTTTTTCAGCCTTCACTCCGCAACCACGTGATTTGAAGAGAAGGATCTAACGTGAAACGAATATTGAAATTTCAGTGATGAAAAAATGAAATTTTTTTGTGATTACAGCTCGCTTAAATGTAAATGACCTCTAGTTAGGGGCGGACCCATTAAGGGCCCAGTGGGGGCGGTTTGCCCCCACTGGGCCAAAAAAAAATTTGGCCTTTTATCGCCCATTGGGCCAAAAAAAATTCTTTAAAAAAAAAAGAAGAAGCCCACTGCCCGCAGCC